CTTGTAGTCCCAGCTACTTGGGAGGCTGAGGCAAGAGAATCACTTAAGCCCAAGAGTTGGAGATTGCTCTGAGCTGTGATGCCACGGCACTCTACCAATGGCGACAGAGTGAGACTCTGACTCAAATAAATAAATAAATAAATAAAAGAAAAGAAACACATCAATTGATTGTAATATGTATATAATTATCTGGACACTGATTTAGACAACAAACTTAAAACAATTATAAGACATTGGGGAAATGTGGATATTAATCAAATGTTTGATGCTATTAAGAGGTTACTATGATACGTGTGATCATTATTTTAAGGTATAATAATTGTATTGTGGATTTTTAAAGGAGTTCTTATCTTTCAAAGGTGTATACTAAATACTGATTTTGGAGATAAACACAGTGATGGGGCTACGTGTTCCTCATTCTCATTTCAGAAAAGTATTTTAAGGAATGCTTTCCTTAGTGAATGTTGATTGGATTATTATCATTGATAGGTGATTTTTAAATGTGTATGCTAAAGACTAATTGTATCATAAAGGACCTTAAGTCCCATGGAAAATCTCCTTTCAATTCAACAATCATGTTAGCCAGAAAAATCTCTGCACCATAAAGACCTTATAGGCCTGACACAAATTGGTAAGAAACGTTATGCGTAGAATCCTCACTGCCTCAGACAGGGTTTTCCTTACGACAATCATGTAGAGAGATCAGAAAATCATTTTTCTTCTTCCCTGATTGGACTGACCTGTCTTCCATTTGCATGTAAACTTCCTTTCTTGCAGATCTTCATTGGCCCGATAAGCCCAGTGAATATATCTTTGGTAGGATCCACAGCAGAATAATACATTCTAGCTAGACACACAGGATCAGCGTAAGTGGGTCCTACTTCTTCCGGGACACTCCATTCATAGGTGAATGTTTCCTTGGGTGCCACATAGGAGGCTGAGGGAGGAGGAGTACCTGTGAGAAAGGTCACATTCGATAGATTAATTGTGCTTTCTTGTGCAGTCATTTGAGCCACAACGTAGACTGGGTTTAGTAGAGGATGATCCACTCCTGAGATCTGTATTAGCTATTAGAATGACATCCTACTCACGCCGCTGTATCAGATGACTGATTGCTGTGCTTTCCTCCCGAAGGGCTCCTTCAAACTTTGTGTGGAATGCTCACACATCTGAAAATGTCCCTAGCACCTTTTATGATATGTTCTGTGTGTTTAACTCTCAAGCAGAACTCACTCTTAAAGGCAAGCATTGTCTTCATATTTCTGTCAACTAGAACAATGCCTGGTAATCAGGAGCAATCAATGCATTTTTCCACTGAATAAAATGCAACTGAAAATATTGTAGAATGGAAAGAAATTTTTCAAGTGATCCTGTTAAATCTTCCAAATTTATACTTGAGAAACTAAAGCCAGAAAGATCAAATAACCTGCCCATGGTCACGCTGTAAGTGCTGGTAAAGTCATGAGCCTTCATTGGTCAACCATGGGATGTAAAAAAAGGCAAAACATTCACTTGAGAGGAGTATTTTATATCATTAAAATTAGGAAATGCTAAGAGAACAAATTCTAGGAACAAAATCATAAGTAGTATACTGTATCTATATGCTATGATCACATGCATATTTTAAATATATATTATATATACACAGATGAAAGTGGAAGAATTATGTAGAAAATAATAGCAGTTGTCTATAGAAATACGAATAATTCATATTTTTGGCTATACTTTTCTGTGTTTTTCAAATATTCTAAAATAAGCATCTAACCTTGTAATTACAAGAACAGTTTTTAAATCAAAGATTACACAAAGTGTATTCCAGTAATGTATAATTGATACAATCCAGCTAAATTATTATCAGCATTGTCAATAATCATCTAATGGAGGCAGGGTAAACATCCATGAACCCACGGGACATGGTAGGAGAAGAGGTTTATTTGCTTCCTGGAAGGCTGCCTAGAAATGATATAGGAGCAGTTTCCTTGGGAGTTCCTGCCTTGAGTTTTTGCAGGACACTGCGAGTGACCAGTCCAGTAGGTTCTGAATCATTGCTATTTGTTTACAGAATGACATACTCACTTCCACCCTGGGAGCTGTAGTAGTATGTGCCCTCGTTGTTCTTACTGAATCTCACCCCAGTGGGCTCCATACTGAGGGGATATGCTCCTTTGTTACGAAAAGTGACTCTGATGGTGTCTCCCACTTCTGCCCAAATGACAGGACCTGGGGACAAAGAAAATAAATTATCCTTTTTTAGCATATCATATGCAGAATGCATAAGACAGTTATTTTCTTCGGCTATATCCTCTGGCAAGAACCACTGGGAGTAGCGTGCTTATTTGCGGCAAATGGAAAGGTGGGTTTCTGAAAAGTTCAGTATCATTATTTGACTTGGTGAGGATGGAAGGAGATGAGAAGGGCTTTTTGATCCAACTTCAGATGAATGAAATGATCACTTTTGTTCAATTCAGTCAATCAATAAGCTTTATACATCTACAAAAACTATTCAGTGTCTACACTCTCCTTAGCCTACTGTTCTGTTGGGTGGATGTGTACCATTTGTTGTCGGAGCCGGAAGGTGCTATACACTTTGACCATGCAAAGCAGGTCAGATAAATTGTCTTGGATGTGAAAGATAGGACAGTTTTGGATTTTCCATCAGGAAAAATAACGTGATTACCAATAATAAGATACAAAGTAGACATGCAGCACATACTTTATGTCGTATACAAAACAACATTTATCCAGAGCTTCCAGTGCTCATGTGTATTAACTCATTTAATCCTTATAACAACTTCATCAGGTAGGAACTATTATGGTTCTTATTTTACAGAAGAGGAGCCGGCACAGAGACTTAAGTAATTCTCAAATATCGCACCGCTAAGCAGTAAAGAGTCAGGACAGTTTGAATCCAGACTCCGTTTGGTCCCCACTCTGCCTTGTTGACCAGCACCTGGACAAGAGCAGGTCTCTGGGCTCTGGAGGAGGACCACCTGCTGAGGGCTCAGACAGACCCAGCCTGTCTGATTAGGAGCCTCGATTCTATTTCTAAGGGAAATGCACCTTTAGCTAAGAGCAGAGGTTGGCGATTTAGTTATCTATTTAAACCAAGTCATTTACCTCTTTAAAGAAAAATAGTCACAATGGTGTAAGGGTCTATGGCACAGCTCCCGGGTGAAGGGCTCACCTACAATCTGGACTTCACCTAACAAACTCAAACAACGTAACCTCGTTGTTGGTGCCCTCATACTAGTATGAAACGAAAAAAGTCATTTGAAGTCAGCATGGCTCCGAATGATAAATACTTACTATTGATAATTTACATTTGAGAAAGTAAAACTATTTAGCTGCTGCCTTTTACGGATAGCTGATCCACCCCATGCCTACTTTCTATGTATTTCACGCGGTAGGTCCTGAAGTCTCTGTTCTCTCCGATGTTGGTGTAGTCCAGGGGATGAGTACACCAGCCACACAGACTGGACTCACTCCTCACTGACTCACCCAAGATGCCGAGATGTTCCTCTTCAGGGCCTCTCTCTTTCCGACTGGTGAAGGAGTCATCTGTGTACTCACGATAAACCAGCTTTTTGTAAGAACCTCCAATTCTTGTAGCACCTTGTTCAAAAAATACTTTGGAGTCACTGCCAGAAGAAAAAGCATTTGATGTTGGGGTTGAAACAGAACAGAAAGCAGGTATTCACATAGGGTACTAATTGAAGAGGAAAATCCTGAGCAGTGCTTCGAGATGAATATTATCCACGATTACAGCAATCCATGCCAGTCACACAAGCAGAAGCAGATAGTTCTAAGCCACTCCGAGAGGGATGGTCAGTTAAAGAATACAGAATTGTAAAGGGATTCACTTTTTCAAAGGAAGTGAAAAAATTTCAAGAGGGTCCATGCCACGCCTTCACAGTTAATAAATTATTCTACAGTAGAATCTTTTTATCAAATTCTAAGATGTTTAACAATATGGTAGCTACTCTTTATTGTGTATTGGCACCATCCAGGTGCTCTGAAGCTTTTATTTATTAGCTGAAATTCACAAGACAAGGCAAGAAAGTTGGTATTATCCTCCCCATTTAACAAATGAATAAATTAAACTTTAGAAAGGTATCTGACTTGCACAAAGCCACTCCATCAATCTCTTCTTTCACTTGACAAATGTACTGAACATCTGCTCTTTGTAGGGAATT